GCTTTTAACAGGTACCTGACTGAATCTGAAGAACCTACATTTAACGTGAAGAGCTGTTTTCTTTAACCTCTTGTGATTTGCAAGTTATTTTTTTAAAAAAATGCAAATTGTATTAGATGGAGATTGTGTGCGCGCGTGTGTGTGTGTGTGAGGGGAGGAGGGTAAAAGGCAGGGGGGTCATTGAAGCAAAGATTATACACTGTACCAACTTTGAAAAGGAATAAGATTGCAGGAAAACAGTCTGTGGATTGTGTTCGCCGAAAGAGGTTTATGGTATTGGAGATGCTCTGTTGAAAGTCTGCGTTCCTTACCAGAGTAACAGCAAAACAACTTGCGTTTATATAGCATCCTTCGTTTGGGGTAGCTTCCCGGAGTGCTTTATCTGTGGAAGCCCAGCAACCAAGAGGAAATTGCCTGTGGTCGTGCAATGCAAATGTTTCTGCAAGCATTTTGTTTCGACGAGTCAGGTATGCTCACTGGCGGTCAGTTGGACTAGAGGGCGTGAGGCTCAGTGTCCCATCCAAGGGAGGGGGTGAGGGAGGGATAAGGAGGAGGAACAGAAATGGGATCCGAGGCGGAAATGGACACATATCCGTCCCGTTGATTTCACAAGGAAATTGACCAGAGTCCTGCCCAGCTCTGATTTTCAATGCAGTTCCAAGAGTAATGGTCTTCCTTTCCATCAGCCGTAGCTACTGCTGATCCTGGGGATGGATGTTAGCAACACACCTCCGAATGAAAAGCATGTCCCTCCCAGTCCATACTTGTTAGTGTCCTTACTTTCTAACTTCAGTATAACCCCAGTCTAACGCAGTCGTCCAAGTCCAATCTCTTAGGCTCCGTATTTTACAGACGTCTGGAAAAATTCCAGGTTGTCAGAGCGAAACCTTAGGCAAGTTTCCTTACTCCACACACCTCTGTTTACCTAGCAGTAACAACAACAACAGGATTACATATGTATCGCACTTTCACGTCGGGAGGATGTCCCAAGGCGCTGGACAGTGAACAGCATTTCAGAACCCAGTAAGTAGGAACCCAGTTGTTAAGTCGATTGGCAGTTCGCTTTCTGGGGGTAATAATCCCTTCAAATTATATATAAATTGGTCATTCAATCCATGACTGTTTGTGGGACACTGCTGTGCTCAATTGGCCGCTATGTTTCACCCACAAAATCTATAGTCAGTTCACCTGATAGTATATTCTGTGAAGAGCTTTGAGATGTTCTCAACGACGTGATACGGCCCCATATCAAATGCAAAGGTTATTATGTTAATTGGCAACACTTTCTGCACATTGTGCGTGGACAGTGCTTTGCTTCCTCGGCGAAAGCGACTGACTTCCAAGTCACTGGGTTGCCACCAACATCATTTCCTCTATGCTGTGTGCAAGGAGCACAGCTGACGTCACTTTCCTGAACAAAGCACAGGTGCAGTGGCCAGGAATGACATCGGAGGGGCTTGCTGTGCAAGTTTTAAGAGAAGAGAACCAGAGTCGCCGCAAGATTGTCCGTCTATCTCCCTTTCAAACAGCCCAAATGATTCTTGGTTAACGAATTGCAAGTTTCTGCAGCGCTCGGTGTGAAGAAATGTTTTCTGGGGCGTGCAAGCAATCAGCGGAGTGTGTTTCAGACTGTGAAGCGGGCAGGTTCAGGTTCAAATGATTTTCGCGAAGCTGAGAAGTATTGCTGATCTCTCAGAGCATCACAGCCTTTATAATCCTGTGTGTCCAGCCATCTGTTCAGTCCGCAGGCCGTCTTGCCTACAGGATACTGATATCCTGTAGGGGGTGGAGTAGGATTGTAGATTAATGGTGAGGCTGTTTTTTTTTGTTTGTTGTGCGTCTGTTTTGTTGTGTTTCTGTTCGCTGACCGGCGCACACTTCCTACAGCACTCATGAGGAGACGGCGGGTGGGTTGGACCATTGATTCCTTCCCTGGTTTCTCCCCCAAAAGGATGGGGGCCGAGGTCGCGGAGGTATTTGAATGGGAGGGCAAAAATCTTGAATTCGAAGCGAGCGAGGCTAGAATGTGCGAGACTCAGTATCTCGTCCTGTGGGGGTTGGTGGAGGATTTAGCAGGAGGAAGGTTGGTGGAGTCGAGATGGACATGGACACAAACCCTGTTGATTTCAGATAGCAGATGCCTCTCGTGAGCTGGGTGGCTCCCTCCAATGTTGGCATTTGGTCACACAGGCAACAGGACCTAGACTACGACGAGAAAGAAACATTGCAAAATAAGGTGTGTGTTTTTTTTAGAAAAAGTTAAAAGCAAAAATTGAGGCAAGACGATGAAAGATAAGTGCAAGTCACTTCAAGGACTCTTAACTGCAGCCGCGGAAAAGAAGTTTGATTCCCCTCATCACTCATTCAGGTTTTGTGTGGAATCGAGCAAAGCTTTTAACAGTCACATCAATCTGCAGCTCAACAGAACTGGAAACAGAGTAGATTTATCTTTTTGCCCCTTTTGTTGCTGTTACATCACAATAACAGTCATGAAAGTTGGGGGGACAGGCAATTAGGAACCCAGGAGCAGGAGGGCATTCAGCCCACTGAGACTGTTCCCCAGTTGATTAGCTCAGGGCAGATCATCTAATAGTGGGAGTGTGGAGAAGATGGGCTATGAGTCCAATTTTCAGCCAGTCAGCAATAGATTTATAATCAGATCGTCCTTAAACCAGGAGATGATTAGAAGCGACTGGTAGATTTTTTTTCTTCTGTGGGCGTCTCAAATCCTTGAATTTGTTTTTGGGGGAGAGGAGGCTAGTTTCGGTTGCAAACAAGTTGCCACTGTTGTTGAAAGTAAGCGCTTTAATTCATGTTTAATATATTAATGGAATAGAGAGCAGGTTCCTGCTCCCTATCATCTACAGAGCATTATCCCCCAGAATAATCTCTGCCTGCTGCATCCTCACTGCCTGGAAGATATTTTGGGACAGTTGCCTCATAAAAGTGCTTTTATTGGTGTATTTATTGCTCTTGATTAATACCAAGCAATTACTGCAGAGGAAATTAGACCCCACTCTATCTATGGTGTGAATCAGTCCCGAAACACAAAGAGAAACAGCGACTCTGTAATTAAATAACCAGCCCTCAGTTCAAATAGTTGATCAGCCAGCCCTGCCCACCTCCAACTCCAGGGGTGAGAATCTGCCAATGCTGATGAGAAAGAGCCTCACTTGTAGTATCTTTGAGGAGTTGGGAGAGTTTGCAGTGTGTTCGCGTGAGGATCTCTCAGCAACTGTGCTGGCAAATTGGGACCTAAAAGTTGCAAACCAGGTTTTGAACTCCTCAGCCTTGAAAAGAAGACATCTCGGAGAAGACCTTGTGAGAAGCTCCATGGGATTGAGAAAGAACAATACTTCCAGGGCTGCAAAATGGGAGGGAGCAGGTTGAGGGTTACAAAGGGAAATTTCAGGAAAGACACAACAAAGTATCCCTTAAATCCAGTGTTGACCAACCTTTTTGGTCGGCCGACAAAATAAATTTTCTTGATTGAATATTTCTTGATTTATGATATAAATCAAGAAACATACTATTGATTGAACATGGACTTACCCAGCCAGGTGTGAATATTCTGGGGGGGGCGTGGGGGAGGCATTTTTAAAGGCATGTAGGCCATGGGTTGGCCACCACTGCTTGGTGGAACATCAATTGAAATGTTGAAAAAGACAGTAGCTACTTGGGAAGTCAAGATACTAAGGGCTTGGAGAGAAGGACAAATGCTTGGTGAGAGGTGAAGATTGGTGTTTACATGTTGAGTGCTCTTGTGAGGTTGAGAGCAATGTGGAGGAGGCTTTATTCTGCATCTGGCACCAGCTATTTCTACCCTGGTGACAGCTTGTTATTGAGCTTGGGTACTCGAACCTCGCAAGGTGTTCCATTCCCTGGCCCTGGTTCACACTCTCAAACTAATTAGGAACTATTACTGATTATTTCTCCTAATACTGGGCTCAGAAGGCACCTGAGGGCATTCTCCCTTGATCGCATCATTAGCACAAAGCGATGGGATTAAAGTTTGGCAAAGAGGATGCTGAAGGTAGAGTGATCTTTGTGTGCTGACAGGCATTCGGAGCCATTGATCTACCTACCTGCCGGGCTGAGAAATTATTTTCCCACTTCGTGATGTGTATTGTAATTCTCTGGCTGTGTCCTGACTGATCCTCTGCATTCTGTTTCCTTCCCTCCCCCCCACCCCCACCAAACAAACCCCACAGTGAAATCAAAATTAGGAACATTCATCGACCCGGAGATGCGATCATTCTTAATTCAAGCAAAAAAGTAGACTTTGAACTCACACCATGCACAACGGGAGCCCAAGCTCAAACAACTTAAGCGCTTGTTTGCAATTCTTTTTCAACTTTCTTTTTAACGTTGAGAGAGAGCGAGAGAGAGAGAGATAATGCCTGTTTAAAGTGGTTGTATTAACAGCTGCCACAAGAAGGGGAGAGGTAGAGGGCACCTAGCCTAGTTTTGAACCAGGGTTGTAGTATTTTAAAGGGGCAGTTTTGTAACCCGCTGTGCTTCTGTAGAGTGAGCGCTGTGAAGATGAAACGCCGTGCACTTCATTGTTGGTGTGAACTTGACAATGTTTCAAGGTAGAAAGCAAGAGGTGTGCTTTGTTCGCCTTGCGTCCAAATCCCTGCCTGTCCAGCGCCTTCGGACGTCCTCCTGACTTGAAAGGCGCTACATAAATGTAATTTGCTCTCCTGTGTTTTGCTGCAAGATGGTACGAGGGAGATTGGTGCCTTTGTTTCTCACACAGTGAAATTTGCAGTCCCCCCTGATGTGGGAAGATGCTGATCAGAGGCCTGGGGACGGACTGCAAGGAAGGAGGCAGGACAAATCCAATAGGAAAGTTCACTCTAACCTACCAGAGCATTGCAGGAGAGGAGGTTGGGGGTGGGTGGGGGTGGGGGGGGGCGGAGAGAGGGAATGAAAATAATTGCCCTACAGAGCCTGAATAGCAACACAAAACCTAATCGGTTTCTCCCCTTCTGTTGCAGAATATTGGTGATTCTCCGCAAGTTGCTTTGGCGCTGAATCAAGAGTCGAAACCAACAAAGGATAAGGAGGAAGGTGCCTGCGGTGACGTTCATTCACGCGATGACGAGCTGGCCATCCGGATAGGTAGAAGTGGCTTCTTAGCAGGCAAGCATCGTGTCATATGCCGACAGAAAATATTCTAACCCCCCAGGTTAAAAGGGGAGAGATGCCTTTTATTTTAAGAAAAAGGTTTCATTTTTTTTAAAAAAAAGCAAAATTTCATTCACATTGTCGCCAAAGAGTTTGCTTTCTTTGATGGCTTAAACTGCTGAATTCTAATCAGTAACGAAAAAGCTTTGAAGATTTCTTTCCTTTGGCTTCTATCTTCTAATCTGTGTTTTTGTGTGTGTTGAGTGCGTGTGTGTGTGTGTGCGCGTGCATGCAATTTTGTTCTGGATGTAGTTATACCTTTAGGGTGTGAAATTGCTGTAGTTTTTAAAAGAGCTTACAGAAAACTGGCTTCAAAATTGAGAAATGTTAGTGCACCAAAGACGCAGAAAATTGAATAAATCTAGACCCAAGTGGGATTTCTCCACCTCAGTCCCTCCTTTAAACCACCATAATCAGCCTGATTTAGAAAATATCTTCTTGCACGTCACACCAACTTTTTTCAGAGGTGAGATCAGGTACAGACAAAAAATGTTGTTGTTTTTGATCGGGCCCGTTATACTATTGTGGTCGAATTAATGACCATTTGGGAATGTGTGGGGCTTTGATACAAACAGCCGTTGGAAGTTGGTTGAAGACCAACAGAGTTTATTGCAGTGATTAACGACAGTTGCAAAAAAAAATTAATATCTTGCGGTAGTAATGAGAATGTCACTGTGTTCGGGCCAGAATTATCGTTGCTTATATATTTTTTTGCCTTCTAATTTATCGTGATAATAAATTAATTGTTGAATCAAAAAAAATACATTGCCTGCTCAGGGCTGAGTTCTGATAATGGGACTTATTAAAAAAAAATGAAGGGTCACGGTCACATGCCTTAAATTCATGATTTTTATGATGATGGTCCATGAGACCAAGATCCTGGAACTTGAGGTAAAATCCTGTAAGGGCTTGAATTTGTTCAAAAGGCTCGAATTTTAGGATTCTCTGCCCTTCCGTTTCAAAAGAACCACCGGACCTCGGTGCGCTGAGGACTTAATATTCAGAGTGAGTTCATCAGGTGGAATGTTCGAAATCAATTCGTCCCCTTTCTCCTGTCAACTTGTCCTCATTAATTCAGACAGTCTACATCCTGGCATGTTCTTCCTTTAGGGAACTAATTTCCTCCTGATGTTCAGTGAACAATAGAACTGCCTCTTTTTAGTGGCTGATCCATGTCGGGTTTGACAACAACAACAAAATTACACTCGTATTGTTCCTTTCACGTCGGAAGGACATCCCAAGGAGCTGAACAACCAATGTTTCGGACCTGAGCTTGGGTTCGGGATCGGAGAGGGTGGAGGGCAGTGTCTGGAAGCACTGCTGAGCTGAGAGACATTGCAGCTCAGGTGTTATGCCGTGAAATACATCACTCATTCTGCAATTGACCCAAAACCTACCACACGCACCCCCATGCTATCTGTGGGGTATGCTTGCCGAGAAATCCTTTGATCCCCAAAGTGTATCATCATCTCAACCACATCCATCATCTCTGCTCTTGAATCCTGGCTTTCTTTCCCTGTTCAGGCTACTTTCCTTCCCCCGCCCTGTATTCCAGCAGCTACCTCTACAGCTTCCAGGAATGATCCCAAGCAACCCTTTGTCCAGGTTTTGTTTTTTTAACTTAAGACTCCGTGAACATGGGATTTCCTTCCTATGATGGGAGTTGCATACCGTTTTGTGTGCCTGCAAATTATTTTACTTTGCAATAAAAATTATTGGGAGAGGGCAGAACCTGATCTCACCAACTCTACTAATCCATATTTCATATTTTTTGTGAACTCTGGAACAACAGCTGAAGGTACGTTTTTGTAAAAGCACAGGAATTCTTTGAAACAAAAAAGAAGCCTGTTATGTCCAGTCCCTTTATAGATCATCATTCATGTTACCTTCCCACTACATCCTTTCTCACTGTTAACAGAAACACACATGGTTGCCTGTTGTTGTACACACTTATGATATCAAGTTAAGTCGTCTTGCGTTAAAAAAAATTCCCCTTTTTCAAGTCAAACTCCCTTTTGTATAAAAATATTCCACCTGAGTTCACAGGATCATAGAACGTCACAGCTCAGACATGGGCTAGTGGAAGCCTTCAAGGCTACACTGTTGTTTTTCCCCACATGAGCCAACCTAATCCCACTCACTCCCATTAATATTGCTGCAATCATCTATTCCCCTTTTTAAAAACTCTGTTTCCACTACGGTTTGGTAGCAAACAATTCAAAGTTTCGACTGCCCTCGGTGAGAGAGCTTTTTTCTTTCGAGCCTCCCCTTTATTTCTTCTTGTGATTGTCTGACAGTTGTGATGGAAGCGCTCCGAGCAATAACGGGAGCCTTCAGCGCTCCCAGGTGCAATCCTGCGCGAAGGGCACTACGTAAATGCAAGACGGTGTTGTTGTTGTCGTCGTCGTCGTCCACTTCCCTCCTTCATTCTACTTACCCTGAACTTCGCACCTGATATCCCAATCCTGTGCCAGAGAGCGGGAGAGAGAGAGAGAGAGAGAGAGAGGAGGGAGAGCAATCTTGGAAAGTTCAATTTGTAGCCTGTAAAAGATTGTGCTTTGTTAATATCCATTGAATGAGCAGAAAACATGCCAGTCAGAGAGCAATGGCTTATGAAGAGCAAGCCAATGGCATTACTGCACACCTGTGCCACAGTGCAGCTGGGTGCCACTATTTCACCAGCCCTTGACACGCATCCTGCATTTTATCATTTCTCCCGCTTCATTATTTGCCGCGATTAATGACGCGACTGCAGATTAGTTGGAGTTCGTCCGAAACAATGTAAATAATTAAAAGGACCTTCTAGAGAAGAGCCAGGAAGGTGGCAATCCTGGAGGCTGCTCAAGCCCGAGGTTATAAAACATCGTCCACTTGCCCTTCATTTATTATCTGTTATTGGTATAAATCTCCCTTCACTAAGTTAATGAATACAAAGCTGCGGCAAATTTTCTTTCAATTCTGCAAGCAGGTTCTCGAATACAGTGGATTATAAACAACAACTTTCATTTATATAGCGCTCCTCACGCAGGGTAGTGTTCCAGAGCGCTTGACAGTTGCTGACCCCAACCCAAGGTGGTGTCAGTAGGACGGTCGAAGAGGAAGGTCTTTAGGTGCAAACTAAAGATGGGGAAGGAAGGAGCAAGCCGGAGGGAGAGAGGAAGAGTATTCCGGTTTCAGAGTTTTAGGGAGTAGCGGCTGAAAGCATGGCCACCAATGGTGAAACAGAGGGCACAAGGACATGCAGGAGGCCGGAGCCAGTCGAGCAGAGGCAGTCGGTAGTGTATTGGGGAGTAAGCAGGTCGGAGAGGTAGGGAGGTGCCCAGGACATGAAGGGATTTGAAAATGAGTGTGAGAATCATGAGATCGATCCATTCAACGATAGGGAGCCAGTGGATGCTGGCTGGAACTGGTGTGACGGGGGTACAGAGTTTAGTACGGATGAGTATGCAGGCAAAGGGAGTTTTGGAGCAGCTGGATTTTGTGGATGGTGGAGCTGGGAACACCGACGAGGAGGGCATTTGAATTGTCGAGTCAGGAGATGACGAATGTTTCGGCTGCTTCTGGCAAAGGTACAGTTGGAGGTGGGCAATGTGGAGGAAGGTGTTGAATTGGGTTGGAGCGCGAAGTGACAAAGTGATTTGGGGTTTATCTTAGATTTGTAATCAGGCCATTGCTATTTATCTTTTTCCTCCCTCTCCCTCTCTCTCTCTCTGGCATTTTTGCCCTTCTCCAAAACGAGACCGTCTTGTTTCGGGCAGTTTTACCTGAGTTAAGAGGCTGGTGTGATCCAGCTTGTCAAAACCCTCAGCAAGTCACACGCCACATTGATAGATGGGTATCCATTGGCAAAGGTAGAACTCGGCAATGTTCTAGATGTGATTACCAACCATTTCGCTTCAGGCCTCCATTCAGTGCAAGGCTGTTGTCAGTGAGACGAATCAAGTACTCAGATGAGATCCGAGGTCGACTGGTTGTAAATCCTCAGATTTCTCAAAACAGGTTATTGTAACCTGGCATGAATCACTGGTGAGGCCACATTTGGAACACTGTGTGCAATCTGAAACCCTAACCCTCAGAAGTAATACACTGGACAGGGTTCTGAGAACAAGCTCACAAGGTTTTTCCCTTTATATAGAATATCGAGACTGGGCATAATCCAGCTCTTTTGCCTTGCTGAAAGGCACAAATCTTGTTGACTGCGATCCCTTCCCACTCCCAAAACACTCCGAAGGTTACCCCTGCTGCTTTGAATCTATTGCACCAATTGCTAGGAAGTTAGGATTTTGTCTTGGAGTAGTGGTCAGCCTGATTCAGGTGGTAGCATTCACCAGTTGGAGCTTTGAACTCTCACGCTTTAGGGTGACACTTCAGTGAACTGCTGTGGGGAGTGGTGGGATTGGAGGTTGCATTGTCGGAGAAGCCGTCCTTCAGATGAAATGTTAATACGAGGCCCCATCTGCCTGTTCAGGTGGATGGTAAAGACGATCATAATAATAATAATCCTCGCATTTGATATAGTGCCTCATCACGTTGCTGAGACCTATGGCACTACCTGAACAGAGAAGGGAGTTTCTCCTGGTGTCCTGGCCAACAATCACTCAGCAAAATTTGGTCATTCAGTCCATAGCTGTTTGTAGGACATTGCTGTCTGTACATTGCACCAAGTTGCAAAACCGTAGTAAGTAAAGCTATAATAATTATTGAAGCACGGCAGATTAAGTTGAGGCTTTTTGCTCATTTTAGGCAATTTCTACCATTGCTCCCTCCTCCCCCACATCATTGTATAATGTATGTCTAAACCTGCAGCACACTAGCAGCGAGATTTGATACAGAGCAGATTTTGTCGCAGTATAGGAGAGGATTCATTGGGGATTACTTGTCCTTTTCTATTTTTGCGAGCAAATGAGGCATTGTTGGGAATCAGCTAATGCTTT